CTCCTCCTCCTCCTCCTCCTCGAGAGCACGGGGAGACACAGCCGAGACGCAGCCGAGACCCGAGCCGAGACACAGCCGAGATTTTGCCGGAGAGGCAGCCGAGACGCCCCCGAGACACACCCGAGACACGGCCGAGAGACATAGTGAGATTTTTCCCCACTCCTCCTGCTTGACGCACCGGCTGCCTTCCCCCCCCCCCCCCCTCCCCCGCCCGCCACAGGCGAGCCTCCGCCGCCCACCGGCCGAGCCTCGCCCAGCTCGCGGCAAACGCGAGACCGCCCGCCCGCCACGCTGCCAGAGGCGGCTGAGGGCCCGAGCACGAACTTTCTCGGAACCGTCCTCTAGGCGACCGTCCACCGCGCGCTCAAGGGCCCGCCGCCGCCAAAGCCGCCGCCAAAGCCGCGGCCGGTCGCGCACGCCAGCGCGGCCGGCAAGCTGGTGTGATCCAGGCGGCGGCGCTCATGTGTGATCGAGGCTGCGCAGGCAGCCGCTGCCGCCCCCACCGCCGGCTTCCCCTTTCTTGCCCAAAGGGACGCGGCATTGTATTCGCGGCATGCGAGAGCGCGAGCGCACCCAGCGGGAGGCTCCACGCAGCCACACGCAGCCCGATATTCGCCGCTCTTTCGCACATTCAGTGCTCAGGCCCGCGGCTTAGCGCAATGCTCCGTTTTTCATCTCGCCGCGGCGCGACTCTCTTCGCTGCTCACCCCCGTTTCCAATATCTCGCGTCGAAAATTGTGAACATAGCGTTGCACCCTAGTGAGTCTGTCGGTAAGCGCGGGTTAGCGCGGGTTAGTGTGCTCACTAACCCGGCACGGGTCAGCGCGGGTCAGTCTCAGAATGGGTTACCATAACCCGGCACTAAAACCCGCTGCCCGGCACACTATCTCACTAACCCAGCGCTAACCCAGCGCTAACCCGTGCGGCTGGGGGGGCATACGTCAGCATGGGTTTGCGCCGGGTTAGGGGTGGGCTAGGGCCGGGTTAGAGTGCAGTGCACCCCCCGGGTTAGAGAGCTGGTTGGCGAGATGAAACGGCTGCGGCGGGGCGTAATAGGCATGTTGTTGGTAAACTTGTTCAAGTTACTTGGAATCGCCCGCATTTGTGTATGAACAAACTTGCCGCGCATCGGAGACGTGCACCGCCGCTAGTCAACTTGCTTCCTTCGCCGTCGGATGCGGAGATTTTTAGCAATACCAAACAACTCTGACACTCACACGTCATTTGGGGCCTGGCTGGAGCCCTAGTTGTGCCGGGTTAGTGCCGGGTTAGCGTCGGGTTATGGTAACCCGTTCTGACCCGAGCTGACCCTTGCCGGGTTAGTGTGGCTTAACCCGGTGTGAAACCCACGCTAACCCTGCGCTTAGTACCGACAGACTCATATTCGAGTAAATTTAAAAAAAACCGTTCCCCGGCGTAACAAACGCGCTCCTGGCTTGGAGCCTTGGAGCTCTTGCTTCCTCTCCCGCTGTGTTTGGCTCCTCGCCATGTCGCTCGCCCGCTCCAAAGGACTCTCGCCCGACAAGCTCTCGTGCGATCCGGCCTACTTCGAGCTCGAGAAAGTCGGCGGAGCCTTCAACCCGATGGCAGAGAGCCAGCGTGAAAACGGTATCCAGCAGCGGGTGCTCCCTGAGAACGTCTACACCGCAGCCATCGTCGCCTGGCTCAACAACGAGAGCGCATCCGAGGCGGCGATCGGCGCCGCGTTCTTTACTGCGCCGCCAGTCGCCCTCACAATCTTCCTCCAAGTGACGCTGACTTACTACCTCCAAGTCGGCGTCAAGGACTACGATGGAGACCTCGAAGCGGTGTGCTTGACCGACCACAGAATGCTGCTGTATACGGGCCTCTCCGCCTTCGT